CAAAATGTGCCGGGTGTTTTGTCTATGTCTGCTATGAGGATGAAGAAACAGCCAGATGGTGCCAGGACAGTGCCTTTGAGGGCACTGAGCTTTTGACCTCGCTGATGCTGGATCTTGCCCTGTTTACTACAACCTTTTTGTGTTCTCTTTCTTTGTTAGGAAGCCGAAAATCCATCTGCTACCTTCCCGTAATGTCCATGGCCTTCATTTTGTGGCGCACTATCACTCCATGAATCACTTTTGTCAAATGCCTTTGCTAAATCGGTGTAAATCACATCTGCGTTTTGGTCGTCTTTCAATGCCTCCGTAATTCTGTCATAATGGATTCCAGCAGCTCAGCTTGTGACAAGCATGATTGTCTCCTGCTCTAAAAACCATGCTGGTTCGGTTTGACAGTTTCATGATGCGTTCCATGAAATATGTAATCTGCTGTCTCATCACTCTTTCGAAGGTTTATTATGATGTGAGAAGTAGTTAAGGGCTAGGGTTTGTAATTTTTAGCTAGTGCTCTACTACCTCCCTTATGCAAAGGGGAAGCTTATGTCTGCACTCTTTAATAAGGCCTCCGTTATTTCACTAGATCTAAGACTCTTTCTCCAAAGAATTCTGAGGATCGTGCTAGTGGACTTTGCACTTCTTTATAATTGGGCATTCATGAATCGGTCCAGGTGCTGATGTGTGTTTGTGTTTAGAGATTTTTTAGGAGTGTGTATGTTGTCAAGAAGCATTTAAATTCTGGGAATGTACTTCTAGGAACTATAGAAAAAATACTTCATACATATACAATGAAGATCACGAGGTTAGTCCTAAATCTACACACCACCATAAAACGTATGGGGGTTGAAGTGGTATGGAGGCAAGTGTAAAATACAGATTAGTGCAAAAGCAGGAGTCGCCGTGGGCACAATAAGAGGACATTGTATCAACATTCCTACCCCCAGACTCTTCAACCTGCTACCAGTAGATATTGGAAATATTCCCAGAACAATGAAGTTTCCAAGAGGAAACTGGACCATTAACTACTAAAAGTTCTTGATCAACCAGGTTATACTAGCTGTATGGCCCTGGTGGATGCTAGCAGCAACAGCCTGGTTGACCAGGTGGTCACCAACGAAGTCTGGTCTCAGACCGGGCTCTAGTGATAAAAACTCTGGAAAGAGATCATAGGTGTTAACGACAAGATTAATATACAGACATGATGGTGCTAGCATCTGCCATCTTTCTGTAGGATGTCATGTGGGAGGCCCGGGGTCATCGCCCCGGCGGCCCGGTCCCAGACCACTCAACGCCACACCCACCTGTCCACATCACCTGCGACACAAAACACCTGCGTCTCGTGATGACCAGCTGATTCATGCTGTCGCCAATTTGGTTATCAGGTTGTGCAGCAATTTTCATCAATTTTCCTATACCTATTTGTCGGGACCGCAATCAGTCAAACCTGCCCCAATCACCAGAGCAGCAACATCAAAGTCCCCGCCGCGCGGGGAATTAAGGGGAGGAAGGGAAGGGGAGGCAGGCCATCTAGGGGAATTTACTGTTTGGGAGGTAAGGTAGGAAGGTAGGGGAATCATGTAGGGAGTTACTGCTTGTGAGGGTGGGGGGTATGGTTGGGCAGGAAAGTAGGGAAGACATTGTTAGAGGTTTGAGGGTTGTGTCGGGAGGGATGGTGGGGAAGGAAAGGTGGCGTAAGGTAGTGGTTTGGGGTGTTCTCCTGGGTTGGAAAGTGCACGGAGGTTGGCGGGGGGTGGGATTTCGGGTGTGTGGTTGGCGTCGGCATCTGGGGGGTGTGCTTGGTATCGGGAGGGGGGGGATAACAGTTAGTGAAAATTGTACTGATAGGATGTTGGGGATAAGTTCAGGGAGGGACTACTATTGGGGGGAGTATTTTTTATTTGACGAG